GCTAGCAGTAAATTCATTTTGTTTGCTATTTCTAGCCTTCCTATTAGACCTTAGTCTCTTCATATGCAAAATATGGATAGTAATGTTACTTGCCTTTTATACCTGCTTAAAACCTGGTGTATACATTTTAGCTGATGTGGAAATTCTCTTTAGGTAACCTGTCTAAAGTCATGCTCAAGTATTAGAGCCAGTGTTCTGATTCTAGAACCCCAGCTTCCATATGCCTCGGAAGATGCTGTCAATAGCTAAGATCCACTAATGAATAAAGTAGCCAATAGCAATGTTAAACATTATGTTAAAAATATAAATTTCAACACAGTTGCCACATGCTAATTTTTTGTTAGTATCCATCAGAAAGCCTAATATCTACATCAGCCCTTATATGCATATTTAAGGCTGAAAATAAAATTCAGGGAAGTAAACATTTCTCACAATTTTCCTACTCTATTTAATAAGGCACTAATTCAAACACATCACAGAACATCTGAACTTTGAAATCTATCAGCCCTTCAAAGGGGACTCCAGAGGAGTTAAGAATGCGTAAGAATGGAACTTAAATGTTTAACGTCTCCACTGTTCAGTGCCTTCCTGTTGCTTCCCAGCAACGTCCAAATCTCTCCGCATGGCGTTCGAGGCTGAGATCTGGCAGACGCCAGTGTGCGGCCTCAGCCCCTATTAAGTCTCAGTTAGGAACCCCACCCTAGAGCCCTCGTCATTCCTCAACTTTGATGTTCTTTCTGCTCCAGTATCTTTTTTGGCCTTGCAGTTTCTTCATCCTGGAAAGAATTTTTCCTATCTCAATCATGGGAAATCTTTATCTCCAGCTCCAACATCCAGTTCTATTGTGACCCAACCTTTCTCTCCTCAGCTCTCTGGCCCTGTGGCTGATTTTTCTGTTAATACCCACAGCCTAGAGCTTGCCTGGCACTTGTGTCTCCCTCCTCCCCTGACGAACCGGTCATTCCTCCTGGTCAGGAGGCTCTTTGTCCTGTGCTTTTCCACCTATGACTTAGTGCCCCAGAGTAACGCGCCAATTATCTGTCGACCTAAACTGAGTCCCATAGCACGTAGGCCTCTCAGAGCGGCGGCAGTGCCATTAGATGGAACATTCTGAAGCCACCCAGCAAGGCTCCATTACTTCAAATACACTCCCAGGGACCAGCAGTCGTGTTTCTGGCATTTAAAACAATATTCTCCCTGTTGTTAAAGAAGAATATAAATTCACTATAGGGTGCTTGTGAGAGAAAGACCTACACAAAACATCATAATTAAACTACCTTTCAAGGGCAGCTGCTGCTCTTTTCAAAATATAGCAACTTTGTGTTTTTCTCAGAATTGCTCAGCAGAGCCCCCATGGAAGGTCCACAAGGACAGAAGGGCGAGCCCTACTGGGTTTGAGCCCCAAGCCCAGCGTGCCTCGGCCATCTGACTCCTTAGTCACCACGTCCAGCCCAGTCTGCAGCTTGCTGTCTGAAAAGTGGGAACACTTGTGCTGATTTTTATCCTACAGGGTTTCCTGGAAGATCAAATGACAAATTTTGGATAGTGTTTTGTAAACTAGAGAATACTGCATGCCTGTATGTTAGTGTGCTTAACTGTACCAGAGATGGCTCTATGGCTACCTGGGGCCATCAGACCGAGTCCTCAGTAATAGTTCCTCCTGGGTTTGTGTCTAGCTCTATTCCTGAAGTCACAGATGACCTTCGCTTCACTAAAGAGAAAGGAATGGACTTTTATGGAGCGCAGCTGCCTGTCCGGTTCTGTGCTATCTACCTTATTCTTGTCTTCCCATAGCACCACGGAATACCCTTTACAGAGGAGAAAAATGGAATTTCAGTGAGCAACGCCATGGATACTGCAAGATTAAAACTAAGGTAGATCTGATTTTAAATCCCATATTCTCTGTGTTTTCACAGTAAGAGAACTTCAGGGGGAAAAGTTTTCCTGGAATTCTTATCATGTACATTTCCAGTGATCCTAGGGCCTTGCTTGACTAGATACAGATTCTTTTGATTCTCTTAGAAAAGGTCAAAGAAGCTGTGATTGCTTCAACTAGTTGTGATTACTTGTGACTATTTCTAAAGAGTAGACTAAGGTAAAAGCCATTTTCAAGCTTATGAAAGGGAACAAATGGTGGCTATCTACCATGTAACTTTGTCTCGTAATTTGTATATTTTAACATATAATTCAGAAGATTCTGTGGCATGGCATCTTTAGATTTAAAAAGAACTGTTGAGAGACACTGGAATTTCCTTCTTGATAGACTGTTAGTTTTGAAGAAGGTAGATTTATCTTTTTAGAACTTAATAATCTGATTTAGAGGTGGAAAATTGGACTCAGTCAAGGATGAATTTTTAAGTACACATCAAGGGAAAAAAAACATTACTACAAATTCTGAGGCTGTGATTAAAAAGATATAACAGCACAGAGGATCTGAAATGACATTACAGTACAGAGACACATGAGGGTGCTCTAACCAGCTGCTGTAATAAATGAATTAAACTGTTCAAATATTAGGGGAAAATTAAGGCCCACTGTGAATGGCAGTGTTGAATTCGCTTTATAGTATTGGCTAAGTATAATCTTGGAATTGGTGTCTTCTCTTTTAAATAAAGCGTATTGGTCCCCGACCCGCATTTTAAAAAGTAGAAGATGTTCATCATATTGGGCAATATGGGAAACACTGAAAAGCACAAAGCAGAAAATAAGAAGGAACAGACAGTGCTCTCCGATCGGGGAGACTGGGTCTTTCTAGAGCCAGTCCAGTTGGAGGTTTAGCTCAGGAGGCCTGCCTTCAAACACAAGCCCAGCCTGTTCTCATTTTGATTCCACAGACCTTCTGCTCGTAGGAAGGGGGAGCAGAGACTGAGGGTCTAATGACCGCAAGAAGAGAATTAAAGACGCATGTTTATCTCAATACATTCACTCTCATTAAAGTTCATATTCACTGACATCATGCATCTCCTTGAAAAAGTCTGCCCACCCACCATTAATTAAAGCCACATTTTAAAAAGTCAGCGTGTGCACTTTTATTCCAATCAAAAGTAGCCTCCTAGGTTTTGCAGACTAGGCAGGAGAATATCTGAGGCCTGACAGCTGTTCACCTCTACACAGTGAAGAATCATGTGATTTATATTAAAAGTCACATTAAATCAGGGCCTACGATATAATAGCTAAGATCTGTTGTCTTGAAGAAGTGAAACATTCAAAACCTAATGGCCTATTAAGCAAAATTAACATTTCTTTTGACAAATCGACATTCTTTTAGTTACAGCATAGGACCATATGCCTTTACCTTTAGGAATAGTCTTCTAGATCTAACTACACACCCTGCTTGAATAATTAAGCAGCACGCTCCTATCAAAGACACCACACTTTATAACTTATACATGTGGTATCGATGTCAAAACAAAGGTCAATGTAAATTTTTTAAAATCTAAACCATTGCACAAACAGTAATTACCAATAGTTGTAGGATTACACAACCATATCTATATTCTTGGCAGTAGTCACTGTAGGTTTGTAAATTCATGAAAATACGGAATGTTGATTTTTAAAGTTCAAGAAAGGTACTATTTGTAAACAGCTCAGGTCACACTCATTTTGTTCCATGTGTTAAGCAAGACTTTCCTTCCAACTTCCTTTAAATGAGATTTGTTCTTTCCATGCGCCTAGTAAAAGAGTTTTTATCCAAACAGATCTGCATTCTTTTCGATTCTTTTTTCTATTAAAGCCCTCCTGGGGACCTTTCAATTTTATGCTGATCTTTCTTTACATATTAATGTCAAGCACATTTTTGTTTTGTGTTGATAAAAGACAAATTACGATTATCTCTTCCCATTGGCAATTCGATTATTCTAGAATGGTTCTGACCAAATATTTCATTAGTTTATGTTTTTTTTTCCACAAAGAGATAGATAGAGTGTGGCATTCAGACTCTCTAGTTATCCTGGTCCTGTCACCATGCGGAAAGAAATGGCACATCAACAGATCTGAATACTAGCTCTGAAATGGTTTAATCCTGGGCAAATCACCCCTAGGCTAGGAGTTGAACATGAATGCTAGTACCGACTTTTCTACTGACTTTCCCTGTCACCTTGAGCACCTTAGGTCCTGTTGCCTCATGCAACAAACGGGGGCAAGGAGGCAAATAATGACAGGGTACCCACAGCCCAGGAAGTTAGTCAGGACTAGTAGATAAGGGGCCAGAGCATCTCTTTGGGGCATGTCTTTCCCTGGTCTACTTACTCATCCAGTCCCAGAAACTATAAGGTGGTGCTTTAATGAGTGAGAGTTGGGTCTGGTTCTTAAAAAAGCATCTCTAAATCTAGGTCAATAAGCCATGCCTGGTGGGTTGCTTTCCTGAAGAGTTTGAGAGAAGATGCTCTGGGTCTTGATGCCCTCAGATACAAGCAATCAGTGTCCCACTGGTACGTGGGGTGAATCCCTATCCTCACCCACAGATTCTATCTCCTGTCTAGATAATACAGTATCCAGAGGGACTATAAAACACTTGATTTTAGGGGCACCTGGGTGGCTCAGTGTGTTAAGCCACTGCCTTCGGCTCAGGTCATGATCCCGGGGTCCTGGGATTGAGCCCCGCATTGGGCTCTCTGCTCAGCGGGGAGCCTGCTTCCTCCTCTCTCTGCCTGCCTCTCTGCCTACTTGTGATCTTTCTCTGTCAAATAAATACATAAAACCTTAAAAAAAAATTAAAAAAGAAAAAAAAAAAACCACTTGATTCTACACAATGCCAAAAGGAATGGGTGGCCTCCTGTTCTGCTGTGGGAAGGAAGGTGGAGTGCCGGTGGAGACATTTCAATCTAGGCCATGATATTCTTTAGAATCTATGGCAGGGGGCAGGGGGCAGGGGGCAGGGCAGTGGGAAGTTGGACTGTATAGCATTTTATCAACTCTAGGAAAGCTTAAGATAAATTTGGCTTAAGTGATTTATAAAGCCATGCAGTCTAGAAAATCACGAGCACCGTAGTCATCCATACCTTCCTGCCGGCTCTGTTGTTGTGAAGGTTCATCAGGGCTCTGGCATCCTTTCCCTTCCTTTCCTTGGCGTCCACAAAGGCTCGGGCAAATTTGATCCCATAGTCAATGTTATCACTGCAGCCACCCCAGTCGAAATTGCCCTTGCTGTCCTTGGCGGTTCCTTTCTTCTTTGGATCACAGGAACAGGATTTTAGTTCTCCTTGGCTACAGGCCCTGGTGATGGCAAACACAACTCCAGCTGAGGAGACGGCGTAAACAAAGGCAGATTCCCGACTACCTGCAACAGAAATGCTTATCTTAAATGTGGTCTGGAATTGCTAGTTCGGAATAGTTTTCACACTGGGGCTGTTGAGTGCTTGCTCTGCCTCTGGCGTCCTTCGCCATGGAGCAAGAAGGTTCTGGTGTTCTTGAAGGATTCTCTTCTAGAGCCAGGGCTCACTTTTTAATAGGAATTGTTTCTGTATCATAAAAGCTTTTGTCAGATTAGGCATCTGTGTGACAACCATCCTTCAAGTCAGTTAAGCATATAAAAGAAAATGCAGCAAAAGCCTGTCTTGCCCACTCCTGGCTTTACATTCGCCTCCTGTCCTAGAGGAGAGGAATGCCGCCTCCGAGGCCTTCCTTCCATGTGTAACAGAGCCTGAGTTCTAGGATTCTGTCATTCCACTAAATAGTTTAGTATTCATGCTATGGGCATCTCTTCTTGAAAAATCCTTTCAAGGGGCGCCTGGGTGGCTCAGCGGGTTAAAGCCTCTGCCTTCAGCTCAGGTCATGATCTCAGGGTCCCGGGATCGAGCCCCGCATCAGGCTCTCTGCTCTGCGGGGAGTCTGCTTCCTCCTCTCTCTGCCTGCCTCTCTGCCTACTTATGATTTCTATCTGTCAAATAAATTAATTAATTAATTTAAAAAAAAAAGAAAAATCCTTTCAAGCTTGCAGGCCTTAGTGAGGACACTTCTGTCACATAAACAGTGGAGGCTGAAAACTGAATTCAAAGACACCTAGGGGCTGAGGCCGGGAAGAGAACTCAGGCAGTGACCATCTTTGCGCGTTCCGACCTGGGGGGCAGGGGGGTTCTGGTTCGGCATCAACTTTCATGAGTAATTCAGAGATGGTTGAAGGCAATAGGCAATATCCTTCAGTTACATACTACGTCTGACTATTAAGGTGAATTTACTTTCTTCTGGAACACCTGCACTAATCACTGGTATTGGGTAAAAGACAGCGAAACGCTTTTCTTTCGTTTCCTAGAAGGAAACAAATTTACCGCCTATAATTAGACTTGGGCAAGAACACTTTGGGGTGCTTTCTTAGAATTGTTCTTTATTAGGGCACAGGCTACTTTCCCTTACAGGCTGAAAGGTACATATTTCAGTGCAATAACTACATTAAATTATTTTAATAATCTGTAGTAACTCATAACATGGTGTTGTGGTACAGTGACAGATATAAGGCTCTTTGGGGTCCATGTACACCTCATTTTTCAAGTGGAGCAGTATTTCATTGTTATTAGCATGGCTTTTTATTAATGGGTGCTGCAGCAAATATATTAACAATCAAAATAAAAGCTCAACAACCTAATGCCAATGCAAGGCAGAAAGTGGAGGGCCATTCAGCGATGCAGTATGTCAAGACGAGTGTGACTTTTTGAACTGCGCAGCTGGAAGAACAAACCACCTTCTCGCCTTGAAGCCCTGCTTGTTTCCGTTTGTCATTCACTGTGAAAATTTATTATATGTCCCTTGTAATATTTGCTCTGCTAGTCTCATTATTAAAAATCAGGAAAACATATCTACACCATATTACATGGCACTTACCTCAGCCTTCAAAAAATATCTCCCCTGAAACCTCTAACCATTAGAAAAGGAATCCATCATGCCCTGTGTTTAGGTAAAATCAATTATATGAATATTTGCCATAGGTAGCAGGTGGCACTCTCCAGGGAGGAATGGGATGGTCAAAGAGCTATTTTAAAGAGTTCTAGATTCTATTACAAGGATCACAGGTTTTCTAAGTGAACTGAGATGTTTTGTGAAAGAAGGAGATTAATAGATACTAATGTGGCTTAATCTCTGGTAGTGGCTTTCCGATAAGTAAGATTTTTATCACACCCATTTTATCACAGCCAGTTTAGGAAAATGGCTTGTCCATAGTTAACCCCTTGATCTGCTAAGGCCCGGTTTTGTATTTGGCATATAGTGCCAACATGGAGAGATGGCACAGAGGGGGTAGATTCCAAATGCTTAATGTATTTAGCTCTAGTTTCATTCTGTAAGGAGAAAGAAGAACAATTTTATGAGGTGGTCTTTTAGGGGAAAGGTATGGGAGAGGTGGATCATAGGATGTCAGTGACCAGACAGTATTTTGAAAGCCGCAGAGGAATCAGTGGCCTAGGTGCAGAATTTATCCTGGCATAACTTGCAAACGATGATATTGACTTGTTGGCTGAAAGAAGGAAGAAAAATCCCTGAAAATCTGCTGTGTTTCTGAAGGAATTTCCAAAGCAAAAATATCACCTTTGCAAATATTTGTCATTTATTTTTAAAACACATTACTAAAGAACCAGATGTCTATCTATTTAAACACAAAAGTTAGCACATTGACTGACTTTTCATTTTTACCTCCAGATGTTTTGGTATCATGTAGATATGGCCTTAAGATGTTTTCAGTTAAGTGTCTTAGATGAATCACTAAAATGCTATGTGTGAAATAGTAGCACATTTCAAGAGTTGGCTTTGTAACAGAACAAATTTTGATCTGGGGCCTCTTAGAAAAACTGATTCTCTTTAAAACCATCACAGTATGAAACAAAATCCAACTCTCAAAGGTGGTACTTCCTGATGTGGTTGAAGTTTCGCTAATTTAGGGGTTGAGAGGGATACCTGGGTGCCTCAGTCCATTATGCCTCTGCTTTCGGCTCAGGTCATTATCCCAGGACCCTGGGCTGGAGCCCCACATCCAGCTCCCTGCTCAGCGGGAAGCCTACTTCTCCCTCTGCCTGTCACTCCCCAGACTTGTGCTTGCTTGCTCGCTCTCTGACAAATAAATAAAATCTTAAAAAAATAATTTGGGGGTTGAGATAAGTCAAGAAAGGTTTATTAAATGCATAGGCATCACTTTTTTTTTTTTTTTTTTTTTCTGGGGCAGAGGTTGGTTACTGGGAGGGTAAAACACTAGAAGCTCCACATTCTGGAAAGTTATGGGTGGTTCAGCTCTCTCTTTAAATGCTTGCATTTCTTTTTCTTTTAATACATTACAAGGATGAGACCTGCTCACTGTTTTGTTTTTTAAGGCTTATTTTAGAATTCTGGAGGTGTATTCTTGCAGGAATATTTCTGGGTTTACTAGTTTGGTCTTTTAAGTTTCTCTGCCTATGGTTGGTGACAGTCTGTGGAATGAATGAATTGCAAATGTTTCCAGAAATTGTTCTGTCTTCTTCTAGCTCTCTGAAGCAAAAGAGGCTAGTAAATGTTCTCCTTTTCTCTAGGACCATGGGATATGTTAGTAACTGTTATATTCTCCGCATCAATGGTGTTGGCCTTTGCCTTTCCTATTCATCTATAAGGACATTTAGGTTTCCAAAAGAGAGAGTTCTTCACAACTTAAGATGTGAATTTCCCTCCAAGCAATTAATTGTAAAAATCTTTGGATAGCTTCATTGGAATTTCTTGATTATTTCCAGGATAAACTACTTTAGGCCAAATTCAGCCCTCCCATAACCAACACAAAATCATCACCGACAGTCACAGGAGTTTATATAAATGTCCAGGAAGAAAGCTGGCCTTCTGTGAAGAATGGAAAGAAATTGTGTAGCATGAGTGTTTTAAGTTTTGAGTACTTTGGCAAAACATTCAGCTTCATCTGAAAGAATTCTGAAGAAGTACAGCTTAGACTCTTTTTTACCTGAGTCCTGACACTCAGTCAAAGTAGCACCACATCCCCTAGTTCTAACCTCTTCCCTCTCAGCAACCCTACAGCCAAGATTAAAGGATTTTACAAATGAATCCCCAGCTTTGCTAGACATGTTATCTTAAGTTCCTTCCATGGACAAAACCGCTTCCTTTGATTGCTGATCTAAAGGTTTTTATTCAATATGGAGACATCTGAATGGAATTTTGCAGACAGAATTTGGAGGTGAACATTTTGTGAAGGAGAAGGATATTTAATTTGTAATGACTGAAAAATGATTGTGAGTACTTTGGAAAGAAAGTCCTCACACAGCCTTAAACACTGAGAGCCTGTCCACAACATACCCAAAGATCACTTGTGTTAGATATTTGTAAACTGGTCTCTGACAAGGTCCAGCACTTTAACTGATTCACTGGTGAGCTAATCTAGGTGAAGTCTTAAAATTCCATGTAGCTGAAATTTACTATTAACCTTTCAAAAATTTGCGATGTCATATTGAAACTCCAAAAGGAATGCACGAGGATATAGTTCTTAAACTAGAGAATAAAATTGCAGAATATCGCAGTAAATTAACTTTAGGGATACACTGAGCGAGAGTACTACGCCCTTGGGGGATTTTAGAGACATTCAGTTATGCATTTGGCCTCATAAAACCCTAGGGCTGTGATGATTACATGATAGAAACACCCTCTGTTAAGCATTACCAAGTGTACAGCCTGGACAATTTTCTTAGGAATGGGGGGGGTGGTGGGCAAAAACAAGTGTAGTTTCCTGTTTCTGGGGTTCACACATAAACTGTTGTGTTTTCAGTCGGATTTCCCAATAGCAAATGGGCCGTACTACTTCTTGAAGAATGCTCATAATGCCAGGTTAAGGGATGGGTATTTTTGACAATGAAATCTGATTTTCAGTTAATTTGCTACTTTCCATATTCAGGAATTTTAAGAAATTTATTATGTAATTAGATGTGTTTAATGCTCCTTCTAAGTAAAACAGAAACAAAACAAACGTGTGTTTGAAAACAATGTATTCATGGTTCTCACCCAAATCCTCCATAAATATTATTCTTCCTAAAATGTGCCTTAAAAAGAAACAAACAAGAAAACAACAACAAAAAAAAAAACAGGTGCTCACTATGAGTTCATCCATTCATTCAACCCATCAATGAGTGAATGGTACCAAGCAAGTGCAGGAAAGAGAGGCTAGTCCCTGCCTTGCAGAATTTATAATCTACTGGAGGAAAAAAATGTTGAATTTAGACACAGAGTGACCGCAGCTGAGTAGCTGAATGGGAGATAAAAGGTTTGAGACAGAGATTTGTCTCTTCTTCTTAATATACACACAGGGTTTTTGTTTTGTTTTTTTTTTTAAATACATACTTCTTAGTCAGTAAACAATTTGAGTATTCCATCCTGATCTGCTCAAATCCTCTGGAAGTTTCAAGTCCCAGAAAGAATAAACAAGTCAAGAGAGCCCTGTGACCGCTTCCTCCTTTCTCCTGAAGACAAAATCTGATCTTGGAGAAACAGGCAAAGTAGTGACAGGATATAGACGGACAGAGCAAAGAGCCAAGAGACAGTTCATCCTAAGCTACGCCTGGCCTCCTTCAAAAGTTGAGGCGAGTTCCTTGGTTTCTCTAGTCGTCATCTGCAAAACAGGGACAGGGCCAACCCAAAAGAAGCAGCTTCTGACTAATAAAATGCAAGACAAGATGAGCAGAGTCTCTGAAGACCCAGTCAGGGGACAGCCCCGTGGAACTCCATGAAGGCAGGGGACTTACTTCGGAGCAGGACCCTGCCAAAGAGGCTGTGATCCCGGTCCAGCGTGTTGCAGTTCCAGCGGTGCTGGCGGAACTGGTGCTGGCACTCTGCCGTCCACTCGGCCACTCCCAGGCCAATGGCCCGCATCACGTCCGGGTGCCGGTGGCACAGCTGTCGCTGGCGGCTCACCAAGCCTGGCACATTGTCACACATTACCCTGGAGGAGCCACCTGTAGCTCTCATGTACCTGCAAAGGACCAACACAGAGGTGAAACACCACAAAGGGCCAGGGCTGGTGTCGTGTTGCCCAGGAAATGAAAGAGCTCAGAGCTTGGTTCAAATAGGAATTCCTGATCCTCTGGAGGACATTGGAAAGCAAGAAGCGGCATAGTAGGCATGGGAATGATCTGGTAAAGCCACCCCAAAATGGAGCAGTGGCTGTGTGTTCTGGACAGGAAACCAGGGCCACCTGATGATGCTCTGCTCGTGGTGGAAGAGTCAAGGTCAAGAGTGAGGGTGAGGGACAATTAATGGGTTTGGGGAAGAAGGCTTCAGAGACTTCGCCAGAGATCGCCGGGGAAGGCTCTGATCTCCACAACACAGTGTGTCTGGGCTTTGCTTTGGGGGATGTCAACCTTTAGAAGCAGCTTACTCCCATTTATTTGACCTAACGGTGACGTGTCTTTAGAAACTGTATCTGTCTAATCAACGCCTGCTCGTGGTGTCTGATGTTACACTCTCCTCACAGACAGGCCCTTCTTTCCTTACCAAAGCATCCTTTAAATATTTCCATTTTTCCAGCTCTCTTTGGCTTTTATAGAGAACCTTTGGAAAAAAAAATTCTTTCTATTGTTATTAAGGACACTAAATGTTTGGAAGAATCAAACAGTGTTACAGCTCCATAAAGTACTTTTGAAAAGAAACTTTAACAAAAAATTACATCATCATCTCTACCCAGATGTTCTCTATTAGTTGTGAAATGTTTAGAAAGGTACCTTTTATATAACCCAAGCTGCCATAGGTGTCTTTTGAAGCGATCAAACAAGGAGAATGTCTTTTTCTTGTATTTTCATTATTTTATATGATCATAAAATCGTTACAGCTGTGACTTCCAAAAAATATATTTAAGTGACAGCTGAGAGACAATGCGACAAAAGCCTAGGCAATAAATAATGTTTATACACCCATGGAAACAGAAATAGTCATTTTATTGAAAAATGGTCACTCTGATAAATCAATCTTTGATCCTGTGTCAGCAATGTCAAGGCTAAACGCCTTCCTGTTCAAAGCGGCTTAGGAAGGAATTGAACCCTTCTTCCCATCAACGCTTTGGCTTGCTCCTTTGAAGAGCTCCAGGGTCTTCCTAAAGCTCCTTGCTCTGGTCTTTAATTTGGCTGAGACTCCTTACTTATGCCAGATTCTTTTATAAACAAAACAAAAAACAGCCCACGATAACTGGTCTTTCTGAATCAGTATTTTAGTATCTGTTCTGAAACTTGCAGGTTCAAGGACATTACAGAGCTAACAGCTCCACCTCTTTTCAAGATCAGAAGGAAGGGAGATGGAGTGGGGAGAGAATCTGCCTTTGGAACTTTTAGCTATGCTAAGACCTGTTACATTTCAACATTCTGCCATTCCTTTACTATGCAAAATAAATCGCAGACCAGCATACAAAGGGCAGCAAAGTTACTCTTTGGAGTGACTGTGATTTTGAACAGGGTAGCATCTTAGAGCCCCCTGGGGCTGGATCTTCATGTTAAGGTGGTAATCTCCACCTGGAGGCAACAAGAGGTCCTTCCGCCCCACGGGGTGAAGCATTAGGAATGTGGAAGGACGAGAAATAATGCAAAATCATACGCTTTGCGTTGTGTAGCTCTCCGCTGCCAGAACTGGCCCGTCGGTTTATCATGAGGCAGTTTTACGGGGGGTGCTGAAGGGGGGAGACTGTTGTAGTTTTCAAGGTGAATTTTCACACGCACACACCCGCGTGCGCGCGCACACACCACATACAGACGCCTGTGCTACAGAGCTGGAGACCCGGCTAGCGTGTCTCTCAACGGGATAAGAAATTGGCTGATTTTGCTGTCGCTCATCTGGATCCAAATCAACCAAGCATCCGAGCTCTCATTTGAGGGAGGCTGTGGGGTTTTTTTGGAGTTGTCAAAGCTGGAATGGTCTTCTATGGAAAAGCAAAGGGGCTGGGGCTGAGGCGGTACGAGAGGACAGCATCTGGGGGTTCCGACTGGAATTTCGATGGCCATGGCCGCGGAGAAGCGCCACCGGGAAAGGTCTATGTGGCTAGTGAGTTCCCCACTCCCATCTCCAAAATCCCCCTGCACCCGTGCGCGTGGACTTACCACCATGAAGAGCTGACCTCAGGGGTGAGCCAGGTCAAGAGCAGAGGGAGCCAGAGCCAGATTCCACCGAGAGGGGCGTTCATATTAACCCCCTTGCGTCCGCATCAGGTCAGACTCCGTGTGCGGGCGCCATGCGTGCCCCGAGCAGAAGCGCTCAGCGCCGGGAGCGCCTCGTCACGGCTGCCGGCGCCTCGCCGCGCCCCCGCCCCCCGCTCGCGTCTGCGGCGAGTGGCGAGACTCGCTGATAAAGTTTCAAACCACCAACCGGGCGAGCGATAAAGGCCAGCCCTGGCCGCCTCGCCCACAGCCCAATTCCCCAGGCGCCGCGAGCGAGGGCAGCCCGAGAGCTCTGCGCGCCTCCTGCGCGCCCCTGGCCGTTCAGCTCCCCGCCTGCCGGGAGCAGCCGAGGGAGGGGGTGCGGCGCTGGGTGGGGCGGGGGGCGCGGGTTTTATACAAGGGTGGATGAAATGATGGCAAGAGATGTCTGGAGATGAGGTGAGGCGGGGACAGAGGAACACCTCCGCGTGGCCTCGAGCACCCGCGGAGGCAGGCACCTTTCGGGAAGCTCCTGGTCAGAGAGCATCAGTGGGGCTCCTGCCACAGGACCCATGCGGCGGAAAGATGAGGCTACCCTCCGGCAAACAGAAGTCTCCGAGGGTACAATGTGGGAAAATGAAGGACAGGATGAGGAGATTACTGTGTACAGCATGCAAGAATCCAGAGATGATTTTCAACTCATTGCTCCGCGTCTCTCCCAACGCCAAGAGGAAGAACGAGTGGAGATTTGGAGCTGCCGAGGCGAAGCCGGGCAAGGTTGGGGAGGGAGGGGCCAGGCCTCGGGGAAATGAAGACCTGTGGCCTTGATTCCTCGGAGCTGGGCTTATATACAGAGCTCGCAGGGTGGGGAGCCGGGAGTCCATGACCCTCCGGACGTCACCCAGGCACCCTCAGCCAAAGTGTCTGGGGAAGATGCGGATTTTACGCACACTCAGCTCCTCCCCGGCGCTGGGGAGCGCAAAAGATCACATAGGGAGGAACCGAGGCAGTGGGGAGCTGCCGGGGGTCTGTGCTCCAACACGAGTCACGCCTTTGCGCTTTGCGGGGGTAAAAGGACCCAGGATCCTGGATCTGGGCCCCCGCACAGAGCCAAGAGAGGCTCAGGCTCACGGGTGGAGCATCTTAAGCAGCAACTGGCTTGTAGCCCCGCCGTTTATCACCGGAAAGGAAGGAAGACCAGGAACTCGTGGCGGCCGTGAACTGTTCCATTGCTCTTTTCCTGGGGTGGAGGGACCCGCCGCCCGCCAGGGGAGCGTGCCTTAGGGAATGGGGAATGTGTTTGCACGTTGAGGGTGGGGGTGGGCGCCGCATCGTTCGCAGGGTGAGGAGGGGTGACTGTCCAGATAGAAAGGATAGGCTCTCCCCCACCCACTCCCAGGGCCCGGACTAGCGGAGCATCAGCTCTTGCTGGGCGCGAGCTCGGTGAGACGCTGGACGGGGCCAAGCTCAGAAACGCCAAAAACCTGAAAGATGCTGTCATCGCCACCCCCATCCCCCCCGCCGATCCCTGGCAGGTCCAGCCCCTTCCAGGCTGACCCAGATACATCCCTGTTTGGGTCCGGAAAGGGAGGGGAGGGAAACAAGCACCGCGCCACCCACGACTCGGGAAGAGCAGGGCTCTGCGCCAGGGCCGCTCCATATCGCTGGGCTGTGACCCAAGGGAAGTTCTGGTCGGTCTGTGCTGGTCGTGAGGGAGGGGTGAGGAGGGCTCTGGGCAGGAGTGGGTGGGGGTTGCGTTTCTGCTCACAGAGCGCACACGCTGGTGGCGGCGTGTGAGGCCCGGTGAGTGATGTGATAGGCACAGAATAGCAAGAAGAAATCTCATTTACCTCTTTGCTTTTGCTCATAAACCTCCTTCGTGAATGAAAGATAGGAAGAACAAGTTACAGTTTACTCCCAGTCTACTTTGTCCACTTCATGCAGTAAATCCAGACAACTGGGACATGTGGAAGAAATGAGTGGCCCCAGAGGAACCCTAAGTTGCCAAAATTTCACTTCTACCAGCAAATAATGTAGGGATGTGTATGTGTATGTTGGGAAAGGTAGGCAGCTGTATGCTTCTCTTATGGAATGTGAGACCTGAAACAACCTAAAAAACACTCCCCAAAACCAAGTTCCACCCACCTCAACACCTCCTGTCCTCACAGCTAAGGGGAGTTAGACATATGAGTGTGACCATCATCTTAGAGGCCCTTCCTCTCCACCCAGGGAATTATTGAGTGGCCAGGACATCTGCCCTTCAGTTGTTGGTGAGGCCAATGGAATGACCTAAACCTGAAACAGACCTTCTGGAAAAAGAACGGGCCATCCCCAAAGCTAATTAAATTCCACTCCAAAGGACTTCATGCTGGGGCAGAAGTACCACATGACTTGCAGAGAAGAAATCAGCCTTGATAAAAGGCAAAAAGCTGAAAAGTTCAAGAGAAGCTAAATCCAGATGTGAAAATAGGTCCGCCCAAACACCCCTTCCTGACCTTGTCTAGAGGCAGTCTGGACCAGATGACTTGTCTCTTCCAGATCTGTGATTACATTTCCCTTTATTCTCCACCCCTATTCACTTATGACCCTTTATGAGCCCGGTAACTCCTCTTGCCGCTGACAGGTCTGACTTTCCTCTCTTCTCATCTGTACTTCATTCTTCATGCTCTTCAGTCGGACCCTTCAAGTTGAACATAGTGGGGTCACTACTAGAAGGAGTTGGGAAATGCTCAAGAAAATCCAGAGAAAGAAAGTTACTACAACCCTCACTTCTCTTGCAATAAAAACTACCACCCTAAAGCAGAGTTGATAAATAATGAAGTAAATTACATATGACTTCAGCTATGCTATCTATAGCAGATGATGAGGTAAGGAAAGGCAGGGTTCAGAGTGCCATTAGATCTATAGATGTTTGATTTTTTTTTTTTTTTTATTCAGTGAAAAATCTCAAAATTGACTGTAAAACTCACAATATACAGAACCCTATTCTCTTTCTGGAGATTAATGTTGGTTTACTTATAACTTCTGTATAGCACCGTAGCCAAATGAGTCAGTCTATTTTCTTAGTTAGATCCATTGTTTGTCTAATCTCCCAGGGCAGAGAGAGAACTAATTTACTACCAGACCATCTCCACCCTTTAAAAATGGAGTTACTTTTTCAACCAAATAGCCATTTGTGTTTCAGTCTGAACTGGCTTCTTCCTAAGGCAGTGACTCCTAATTTAGCTACTCACTAACCAATGATTCAAAGGTCTAGTATCTCCAACTTAGATTCAGTGACCTTAAGTGAGAACATTCTGTATTAATAGGATGGGTCAAAATAGGAAAGAAAAAAGAGTCCTTTTATTTTCTAAATCAGTGAGTATCATATATATTACAATATAGGTTATATATCAAATAACAACATAGAATATATATATCATTACATTTTTTTTTACTTGCTAAGCTTATCCAACTAAGAGTATCATTTACATAACATAGGTTCATTTTGAAATTTTGTTTGCTTTCGATGCCCTTAAAAACATTGCCCCTTTCCCTCTTTAGTCACTACTAAAATTTTATTAAGTGTACGCTTACCTATTCATCATCAAAAATTCCTCTTACAAATAGTTAAAAGCATCAGTGACTTAAATCTCAGTGTGCATTTAAATGCACACCACAGATTTGCTTCTAGCCATGAGAGAGTAATAGGTATCTGACTTGTTCTACTGGGAAAAAACCTCTAATGTGACAAATCTTTTCAGGTGTTGGCTGATAGGTAGCAAACAACTGTGATCTTTGAGAGAGGGAAATACATGAGGTATGCTCCATGACTATTGCATAATGGTCCTGGTTTTTCTGTTGAAATGCACCTCCCACCCCCCCTCGCCCCCTGCTCGAGGGTGCAAGAAAGTGAAATCCATACAGAGTAGTCTCATTTATGGAGAACTCAGGATCTTGGGCTATTGAAGCAGCTGAAATTGGCAGGGTAGCATATCTGAAAGTAAGTAGCTATGAAAAGGGGGGCCCTAAAAGTCTACATGGGGATTCACCGTGGTTCCTTGGCCAAGAGCTGAGATGAATATGGACATGATAAGACTCTGCATGGCCTAGTAGGTATTGCCTGCTGCATATCATGCAGTGTTAAGAATCAGAATTCCATCTCAGTGGGGTCAGAGAGACCTCATGAAGCACTTCAAGCATTCACTTTAGATGTTAGAAAGGCCATCCCTTTAAAGTAAGGGTCATACCTTAATGTAAAAAGCATGTTTTAGGTCAAAAATTCAAAATTTTGTCTCTCCATATCACATACCCAAAGAATAAAAACAAACCAAACAGGCCAAGAGAAATTTACAATAAAACCAACACTCACTAAAGAAAGACATCATAATCCAACACCCATTTAAGGAAGACCGTATTGTATAATTTACAGTGTTGAACATACAATAACAAAAATTAATAGGCAAGTGAAAACCCGAAAAAGGTGACTCAGACTCAAGAAAAAGCAGTCAAAAGAAGCTGACTCTGAGATGGCCCAGACGTAGGAACTGGTGGGAAATTTTTAATTTATTTTTAATATAAATAATAATTATTAATAATAAATTATTAATAAAATAATTTATAAATAATAAATATTTTATTATAATTTTATTCAAGTGTTTAAGGGAAATATCACAATGAACAAATAGATGGAGAATCTCAGTAAAAAAAATGAAAGCTATAAGAAACATATGAAAATCTAGGACCAAAAAGTATGTCTGAAATGAAAAATTCACTGAATGGTTGTAACAATGAAATGGGGTTGGAAGGAGAAAAAGATGATAAACTTAAAAATAGAACTTATATAATCTGAAGAACAGAGAGAATAGATACTGAAAATTAAAGAAATGTAACCTCAGATATCTGTGGTACAATGCAAAGTAGTCTAATATATGTGTAAGTGGAATTCAAAAAGAAAGGAGAGAGAAAATGTGAGATTACATAGATGTATATGAAAAAATACTGCACCATATTTGTCCACTATGAGAGAACACATTCATATACAGACCCAAGAAGGCCAGAAACCTGC